TTTTTTAGTTTCTAAATGTATTTATTTATTTATTTATTAAAATCAAGTTGTTGTTTGATTGCTGTTTTGTTTTGTTTTGTTTTGTTTTTTTAAATTAATTAATTTTTTTTTGGGGGGGGGGGGGGCAGGAGCAGAATCGACTTTTGTCTTACTTCAACAAATCCAAATTTGGAACAATCAAGTCTAATAATTAAGGACGAAATAAATGTTCTTGTACTTTTCCCCGTCCGGCCTTGACAGTTGGAAAATAGAGCAGCGATGGCTTGAGGCAAAATAAAATATTGTTTGCTGAAACTATTGTCAAACAGGAAATTGAAAAAAGCCATTGGGGAGGGCGGGAGATCCGTGGTCTTCTACATCAATATCTGATCTCCCAATGAAAGCAGACTGTGTGCTGTTGAGGTTAGAGAGGTGAGCAGAGTAAGCCTATTCCACGTTTCAACTTCTCTGTTCACATTCACCCTTTGAGTCTCATATTATGACTTTATACAGTTGCGAGTGCCTTAAAACCTTACAGAAACAATAACAATCCCAATGAAATGATCGAGCGGGGAAGCTGAGAAGACAGCCATTGTACGTCTTTTGTGAGAACACGAGATCTGTTTCTCCGTTGTTCTGGTATTTTCTACACCACGCGTAACGGCGGGTTCAAACCTCACAGAAGTGTTGCTTTGTTTGCTTTGGTAGGGTTTACGGCGCTCGCAACTGCACAAAGTCATAAGAGCGCCAGGGTTGGATGTCAAAAGAGAAGTCCGAATGGGGAATCAGGCTTACTGTGCTCACCTCTCTCGCCTCAACAGCACAAAGTCTGCTCCGACTATCAAGACACCCCGGAAATAGCAGTTCACAAGAGAGTGACAAACATACAAAAAAGGTAGAAGAAAAAATGACGATAGTTAGGATGAGGAAAGGAAATGCAGCAGTTCCCCCTATGTTGTTCCGGCACAGCATGAGCATGGCATTGATAAACCAACCCATTTACAATTCTACTGTGCATAAGAACATGTTAATATATCCCTCCTTTGGGAATGGCCTAAAGACACTTCAGTCAGTAGCAGTCATACTTTACGATGGCTGTCAGTTCTCAAGCCAGGATAGGATTCTTCACATTTTAACAGCCTCGCCTATAGGGAACGCCCGTCTTGTGGTGGTCTGCCTTACTTTAGTTTTCGTAAGTTTTACGACGCTTACAACACAATAAGGTCATACAAGTGCCGAAGATTAGATTTGAGGTGTTACAAGAGAGTAACAAACACAGAAAAGAAGGAGAGTTCAGGACTATGGATGTTTGATAGGAAAGAAGGAGCAAACCACTCCAGAGTACCCGCCAACCACCCCATCTGCCTTACTTTTTTTTTTACATGATAGGGGCGAGACTGTGGAATATTATGTGAAGTCTACTCTTATCGTGTCTGTCTGTCTGTGGGCATGTGAATGTGTGCGCATGTGTGTGCCTATGGATATGTGTCTGGCTGTGTATTTGTATGTGTGTTTCTGTAACACGTGTCTCTTTGAGTGCATATGAGTGTGTGGGCATGTGTGTGTCTGTGTGTATGTGTACTGCTGAGTCTGTGGGTATGTGTGTATCTGTAACACGCGTCTGTCTGTCTGTGTGCTTGCACAGGTTGCTGAAAGGTCAAGAGATCCCCCCGGAAGAATACCCCTCGGCCACCGTCTGTTTCTCCGGAATCTGGGGCTTCGAGCGGCTCAGCCGTCAGAGCTCCGGCGCCAGCATCATCTACTTCATCAACCGACTGTTCGACATCATGGACGACGAGATCACGCGACATGACGTGTTTAAAGTGGAGACAGTCGGTGAGAGTTGTATACCTTGTGTGAATAGTTGGTGAGAGTTTAATACCATGTAGAAATAGTTGTGTAGAAATAGTTGTTGAGAGTTTTATACCTTGTAAAAATAGTTGTGTAGAAATAGTTGTTGAGAGCTTTATATCACTGTATAAATAGTAGTTGAAAGCTTTATATCACTGTATAAATAGTCGTTGAAAGTGTTATACCTTGTATGAATAGTCGGTGAGAGTGTTATACCTTGTTTAAATAGTCGGTGAGAGTTTTATACTTGTATAAACAGTTAGTGAGAGTGTTACACCTTTTATAAACAGTCGGTGAGAGTTTAATACTTGTATAATAAATTAATAGTTCATGAGAGTTTTATACCTTGTATAAATAGTCGGTGAGAGTTCTATGCTTGTACAATAGTCGGTGCGCGTTTTATATTTGTATAAATAGTCGGTGGGAGAGTTTAATACCTTGTATAAATAGTCGGTGAGAGTTTTATATTTGTATAAATACTCGATGAGAGTTTTAGACTTGTATAAATGGTCGGTGAAAGTTTTTTTCTTGTACAATATTATGTATAAATAGTCAGTGAGAGTTTTATACTTATATAAATAGTCGATGAGAGTTTTGTACCTTGTAGTTCGTTCTTTCCTGGTCTGTAAAACTAACGTACCCAGCTAGCTATAGACCGGGAAAGGTATTATTTCGTTCTCCTTCAGTTTTAGTAGAGTTTTTACGGCGCTTGCAATTGCATAAGGTCATAATATGAGCGCCAAGAGGTGGATGTCAAGAGAGAAGTCCATACAGTGAATCAGGCTTACTCTGCTCACCTCTCTAGCTTCAACAGCACAAAGTCTGCTTCAGCTATCAAGACACCCGGAAATAGCAGGTCACTAGAGTGTGACAAACATGCAAAAGAAGGAAAGGAAAAATGACGACAGTACGGTTTAGGAAAGAAAAAGCAGCAGTTCCCCCTTACAGTTCAGGCACAGTTATGGGCATGACATTGATTAAATCTGCCCATTTACAATTCTACTGTGTATAAGAACATGTTAATGTCTCCCCTTTGGGATTAGTCTAAAGACACTTTAGTCAGTAGCACTGCCCTAGGGGGTATTTCTTTCTCTGCTGGGAAGTACATTATGATGGTGGGCGGGATGAAATGGTTGACAAGCTCTATGTTATAGTCTCTTTCCTGTGTACGTAGAATCTTGTAGTGGAGCACGATTGTGTTCTTCTGACAAATCTTGAAAGCGAAAGTTGTATTCGTTGCAAGAAGTAATTTGGAAATGTGCTGTTGTTGTTGTTTTGTTGTTGTTGTTTTTTTGGTGTTTTTGTTGTTTTTTTCCCTTGCCCATTTATATGAGATTGACGCCATCTGATTAGTAGAAAAAAGTGCATATGATTGTGTCCAATACTGTATTACATGCATACTTAGTATATCAAATTAACTGTAAAAGCGGATAGAGATTCCAGGATTATAGATGTAAGTCATTGATCTGAGAGAGGTGATGATTTTAGAATTAATAGTGGTGATGAGTGATGATGAGGGATTGCGTTTAAGTAATGTTAGCGTTAGTCCTATCTTCCTCTGCTCCAATGAGTCACGAGGGACGAGGGCACCCTCTATCCCGTTCCCTACTGGAACCATCTTTACGGTCACCATGAAGTTCCGAAATGGTGGGCTCAGTCTCTGCTAAGGCGACATCGAAAGTGTTAGCCTATTCTATCGGGCCAAGACAAGTGTAGAGAGGAGCTAAGTGGGAAGACAGTATATAGTGGCTGGTATGTTGGGGGACAGCTAGAAAAACAAAAGAAGAAGTCCTGGTTGAAGCAAATTATAGAAAACAACTTATCACGAATATAAGAAAACGACAGGCAAATTTTTTCGGACACACAATGCGGAAAGAAGCATTAGAGAACATTGTAACAACAGGAAAGTTTGATGGAAAGAGAGGTAGAGGCAGACAGAGGGAAAAGATACTGGACAAGATGACAACATGGCTGGGAGCAGCAAGAACAACAGACACCATTGCTGCTTCGAAAGACAGATGGAAGTGGAGGTCCATGATCGCCCACGCCAGTCGGCAAGGCACGGATGATGATGATGTTGGGGGTATTTGTAAGCGGGTTGTAGATAGCAAGTTGGCAGATTATTGTTGCTGTTGTTGTTGTTGTTGTTTTTGTTGTTGTTGTTGTTGTTGTTGTTGTTGCTGTTGTTGTTGTTGTTGTTGCGGTCTTGTGCCGATGTGCTGAGATGCTTCTTTAAAAAAAACAAAAAACATGCGATACGATTTCAACTAGGTTCGATTGTGGCGTTAAAAACCAAACGTGTTTGTTTTTCAAAGTCGAGATTTGAAACAGTTGTGTTGTGCGAAAATGGTTGACCTACGAAAAATAATTAGAGAAAAAGAGAGAGAGAGAGAGAAAGAGAGAGAGAGAGAGAGAGAGAGAGAGAGAGAGAGAGAGAGAGAGAGAGAGAGAGAGAGAGAGAGGGAGAGATATATATATATATATATACAGACAGAGATAGAGATAGACACAGAGATAGAGAGAAAGAGGCAGTATGGTGCCATAAAAGAACAACCAAATTAATAAGCTCGTAGCTTATTTTGTCCCTTCCGTTGAGAAGAAACTGGAGGCTGTACCTTCCCTGCCTGACATCGAAGAGAAGAGTTCACTGGGTTTACATGTACGTTCTCTACGTGAGGACTGGTTGAGTTTGTATCGCGTGCGAGGCGGAGACTCCAACTGTCACACGACTGAGGCCCAGGTTTCCGGTCTTAAGTACACGCACGTCTCAGCTAATAATATGTCTCCATTAGTTCGATGGGTGATTAGTGGCCTACTGTAGCCTACTGTAGCCTGCTGTAGCCTACTCTAGCCTACTCTAGCCCACTGTAGCCTGATGTAGTCTACTGTAGCCTATTGTAGCCTGATGCAGTCCAATGTAGCATATTGTAGCCTGATGTAGTCTACTGTAGCCTATTGCCCTCAATGTTTACAGAGAACTTGTGTTTTTTGTAGATATTTTCAACGGATTTTTTAAGCATGCATTTTGATCTCTAAACGTTTTCTTATTTTGCCATGTTTTTGTAGTATAGGGAGAGAAAGAGAGAGAGAGAGAGAGATAGAGAGAGAGAGAGAGAGAGAGAGATAGAGAGAGATAGAGAGACAGAGAGATAGAGAGAGAGAAAGAGAGAGGGATAGAGAGAGAGAGAGACCGAAAGAGAGAAAAAGAGTCAGAGAGAGAAAGAATGAGAGAGAGAAAAAAAGAGAGAAATAGAGAGAGAGAGAGACCGAAAGAGAGACAGAGAGAAAGAGAGACAGAAAGAGAGAGAGAGAGATAGAGAGAGAGACCGAAAGAGAGAAAGAGAGTCTGAGAGAGAGAAAGAGAACAAGAGTTAGAGAACAAGAGAGAGAGAGAAAGAAAGAGAGAGAGAGAGACAGAGACAGAGAGAGAGAGAGAGAGAGAGAACCAGTAAGGTA